TGGTTTGGGGCTGAAGGGGGACCTGCCCCTCCTTTTCTCCCAGCCCTGGCTCAGTGTCCTGAGTTGCTCACACCCCTAAACAGGGGAGATGGGTCTTGCCCCAGCCATGAGGATGGTCCTGAACCATTCCTTATATAAATACTTTAATTTGGGGGTGGCCTTGCTAGTTCACTTCCGCACAGTGGGGAAAATCTCTTTGCCTCCAGTAGCTGTGTAAGCAGGCAAGTTGCATTGGTGCCTTCAGGCAGGCACACAGAGAGTGCCTGCCCCTTTACCAGTCAGCCCCTAACTGAACAAGGCTCCCTTCTTTTCTCCCACTCTAGGCCTGGCACTGGCTGCAGGTTTAATGGGGCGGCGCTAGCTGAAAAGCTTTTATTTAACCATCGCTGTGCCTGGAAGACATCTCTCTGCTCCTTCACACTTGTGTTAAAAACTACAACCTGCCTATTCTTCATTGGAGCCTGCCTTGATAACGCTGTTTACCCAAATGACAGACACTGAAGTGGGTGTAGCTGGCATATGAGCAGCAACACTGTCGAGCCATACTTGAATTAATGAGTACACAGGGAGGTATATCTCATGAGATTTTACTTTGTATTGGTAAAGAACACATTTTTTTCCTAGTGAAGATGCACCTTCTATGTGTTTTAACTGCACAAGTATAATACAGGTGATCACCACCATCCTAAAGTCTGTCAAAATCTGCAGCCAAAAACTACCATCTTTTTTCACTTGGGGTTTTAGTTAAAATTCCCTAATCACATCAACAACTCATTTATCATTCCTGATCATTTGAGTAAATATTTTTCACCCACGTTTTGGGTTTTGGAATAGAAAAAAAATATCTGTTGTATTGACACCACAGTCACTCCCCTGTGTATGGATTATAGTTTTGGTTTCCCAGTTTCCTCCCCTAATTTATAGTCCCTGCATCTGTCTTATTTTTTTAGTCATGTTCTCGAGTAGCCTCAGTCTGTCATTCTTTATCAAGCTGCATAAGAGGGTTGGTCCAGTGTTTTTCTGAACGAAAAGGAATATTCAGGGTACAATTGCTACACCACTACGCTTCCAGGCAGTTCTGAGGCTGCTTACTTATATTTCCAGATAGCTGATGTCTTCTAATCCCAATCCTTCTTTCAATACCAACACCAAGACCCTTATTAGAAGAAATATTAGTGTTTATTTGATCATCTTCATGTTTAGTGTATTAGTGTACTATTCTCTGTTGTCTTATTATAGTTCAACTTTTAAAAACAAGGGTTTTCTTTAATACAAATCACTTTTGATTTCTAGCCTAGTTCTTATTTTTGTGACTACTCCATACAGGACCAGGGGCCATACCCCTAATTATTGGGATTGCCAGAACTTGATTTTTTTTATGGTTTTAAATATTTTGAACGTGTTATTCAGTTTTTAAATTTATTTAAATTTTCACAGTTGTATGAAATTATGGGGGATCAGATAATTAATTATGTAGATGTTGAGATTCAAAAAATTAAAGCTTTAGCTGTCAAAATGTAAATCACTTTTTAGTCTGAAATCAAACCATTTCTCAAACAGCATTTTTCTTACTATGCCAACCTGTACATTTTGATCAATGGAAATATTTTGTCAGATTGTGTGCAGACAGTGAAATTGATGCTTACTGATATTTACCAGTAAGAGTTACCTTGCACCTAGAAATCAGGTCAGAACCCATTACGGTAAGTGCTATAGAAACATTTGTTCCATTTTTTTGTTTTAATTCCCTGTCTAAGATTTAATACTCATATCAAACTATTTCATGAGTTATCCATTACTCTTCTTAGTCAAAAAGAAAAGTAGCTTACTGGGTGGTTCACATTTCATACTACGAAATCGTCTTTCCCAGGATGAGGATGTTGAAGTAGATGAAGAGATAGAAACTGAAGTTCCAGGCTCCTTTACAAAAAACAAGGAAAAAACTCATTTAAGCAATTATATTATTGTTTGGTCAAGCTATTTTTCATCGCTTAAAATCCATTAGTAAATTCTGGCCTTTTTTAATAGGATTCATATGTAGATAATGATGCTGAGTAATCAAATAGATTAGGGCCATTATGTCATCTACTTTTTAGCAGGGTTAAAGGATTTTAAATAGATTGGAACAAAGGTTTCTTATAAAAGAACCCAGAGCACATTATGTTCAGTTATTATTCTAGTTAAAAACAAAAATAAGAAGACATAGCTTACAGCTTCCAAAATACCAATGTGAGCTCCAGAAACTATATTCACACACTCCTCCTTTCCCCTTTTCCTAGCAGTTTACAGCCTCTGCATTCTAATGTTTTTATATAACAAAGGCATTTACTGCAAATGTTTTCCTGATTTGGAAATTCTGATCACCAAATGAGAAAGCACAAGAAAGGAAAACCTACAAATTTACTTGTGCAAAATCCTTAGCCACTGCATGTGTGCTGAACTCCTAAAATAAAATAATCCTTAATAACAGAATATAGTTATGCAAGGTCTTTTCTTAAGATAAACATGTATTCCAGTCTAAAGGTCATGGCCTGATCTAAAATCCACTGAAGTTAATGGGAGCCTTTCAATCAACTTCAGTAAACTCTGGGTCTGGCCCTAAAGGTATCTCATCATCTCTGTCTCTCTCTGTAAATTTGTGGTCAGGTTCTCTTCTTGTGTTCTCTTTTTCCTGAATACTTCTGCAGTCATTTCTACTGGGCAGCTAATCTTTCTATATTATCTTGGTTTTCCCTCAGTCTATGTTTTCAGTGTTACTATGAGTTAGATACCTCTAGATTCTGTATCCTTCCTTTTCTCAATAAATTACCTTTCTGGCTCCCATTGATACTAGTCCATTTCACATGTATTCTTCTTTGATGGAATTCCCATTGCTCCACATTTTTCTTACTTTTAGATTTCTTGTAATATTTTTTGCATTATTTCAATATTAATCTCTTCAATTTCTTTCTTCCCCCAGATTGCATTCTGTCCTCTCATCAAGTAACTTAACCATTGATACCCCTGGCTCCCAACTTCCATAGTGGACATCTGTATCACATAACCTTGAATTTGAAATGGAGTTGGTCTAGTCCTAGTCTAACAATAGAAGCTTGTGCCAGCACTTTAAAAACAGTTTAGGATCACAGTCTAACCTTTCAGCCCTGGCCTTCTTTAATCTAACAGTCACCAGAAAAGTTAAAGAGGCAACATTATTTAGGACCAAAGCAGTTGCAACTACAGTCATATATTATGCATTTAAATTTTCATAACTTCTTGCAAATGCTAAGTCTTGAAGATGTACAGGCAAATATAATCTGCATATATTGTGGTTTAGTATTTGCCCAATTTATAGGGAAAATCAAAACTAATATTTTTGTATATATAAATATGAAAAATGCAGATACAGTTTTATCTATTTGTATTTGAAGATGTGGCTTCTAGTGTCTAGATTCCAATGTAATATATGGTTAACAAAGGACTGTCTATATCAGGAGAACCGGGCCCAGGGGCCACGTACGGCCCCCAGCTTGACTTGGTTCTGGCCCCCAAGTCTCAGGGTCCGGTCCCCCACGCAGTATAGGGGAGCCAGTACTGGCACTCCAGCCTCCTCCCTCCCCCCACACACTGCCCCACTGCAGGGCTGATGAACACAAACATCTACTAGCATGGGCCCTCCTAAGCTCTGCTGTGCGAGAGGAATGTGGGGAGTGTCTTTCTCCTTCTCAGTCAGGGGCTACATCTCTGAGGGGTTTTTTTCCTCATTTGTGCGCATCTCCGTACTGATTTTTCTGTGGGTGAGTGGCTTTTGACCCAAAAAAGGTTCCCCGCCCCTGGTCTATATTAAATGGGACTGTCAGATAACATAATAACAGATGCAGTATCAGTGCCTGTAATACAATAAAACTAGATAGCCATCTTCAGAAATATTATTTAAAAACTAATTTTCTGTAGAACTTTGTAAAAGAAACAAGATTCAAAATGACCAATTTTTTTTCTATTTTCTACTGCAACCCAGTACAAATATGGACTGTTTTCATATCAGCTCTTGTAGAAAGTGTGCTTTAATGCACCCAGGGCCATTAGATTTTTTCAAAATTTTATGAAATACATACAGCATCAATCCCTGTAAAATGTATCAAACACTACATTTCAAGGCAGATGTGAGCACCAAACAAAGGCATTCACCAAACAGAAAATTTTCTAAAATAGGAAGTCACTTCTGCCTTGACTGCAAGCAGTTAAGAGTAATACAGAAGGAAGGACAGTAACAGCATAGAACGATGATCAAGGATTTTTAAAGTCATTCAGTCATTAAGAGTTTCATCACCCCCCCTTGTTCAAAGTATCAAACTGCAACCACTAACAAAAGAGTAGAACTTCTTAGACAAATAAGAATTCAAGTGATTATTTTTATTTCATAATTCAAGTGATTATTTTTATTTCACAAAGTGCCAGTTATGTTTCAGAGTTATGTGCTCTTCTGTAATATAAAAATGTAGCTCATCATTCATTTGACATAAAGTTACCTGGTATGTCTTAACAATTTCCAGTTTCTTTGTTCCAGTACTAACAGGAAGTAACACTAGTTAACATTTTTCACATTGGTTCATCAAAACCAGAAATTAATTATATTTATAAGTGTCCTCTCCATCAGAGTCAGAGTCAGATCCAGCTACATTTATCTCTTGAAACTTTAACTTGGTCTTTGTCTTAAAAGATTATTTTGAAAAGGAATGTATTCTAAATACAGGCAGTCCCCAAGTTACATACAAGATAGGGACTGTAGGTTTGTTCTTAAGTTGAATCTGTATGTAAGTCAGAACTGGCATCCAGATTCAGCCGCGGTTGAAACTGATCAGTTTCAGCAGCGGCTGATGCCAGTTCTGACTTACATACAGATTCAACTTAAGAACAAACCTACAGTCCCTATCTTGTATGTATGGTTTGGGGCTGAAGGGGGACCTGCCCCTCCTTTTCTCCCAGCCCTGGCTCAGTGTCCTGAGTTGCTCACACCCCTAAACAGGGGAGATGGGTCTTGCCCCAGCCATGAGGATGGTCCTGAACCATTCCTTATATAAATACTTTAATTTGGGGGTGGCCTTGCTAGTTCACTTCCGCACAGTGGGGAAAATCTCTTTGCCTCCAGTAGCTGTGTAAGCAGGCAAGTTGCATTGGTGCCTTCAGGCAGGCACACAGAGAGTGCCTGCCCCTTTACCAGTCAGCCCCTAACTGAACAAGGCTCCCTTCTTTTCTCCCACTCTAGGCCTGGCACTGGCTGCAGGTTTAATGGGGCGGCGCTAGCTGAAAAGCTTTTATTTAACCATCGCTGTGCCTGGAAGACATCTCTCTGCTCCTTCACACTTGTGTTAAAAACTACAACCTGCCTATTCTTCATTGGAGCCTGCCTTGATAACGCTGTTTACCCAAATGACAGACACTGAAGTGGGTGTAGCTGGCATATGAGCAGCAACACTGTCGAGCCATACTTGAATTAATGAGTACACAGGGAGGTATATCTCATGAGATTTTACTTTGTATTGGTAAAGAACACATTTTTTTCCTAGTGAAGATGCACCTTCTATGTGTTTTAACTGCACAAGTATAATACAGGTGATCACCACCATCCTAAAGTCTGTCAAAATCTGCAGCCAAAAACTACCATCTTTTTTCACTTGGGGTTTTAGTTAAAATTCCCTAATCACATCAACAACTCATTTATCATTCCTGATCATTTGAGTAAATATTTTTCACCCACGTTTTGGGTTTTGGAATAGAAAAAAAATATCTGTTGTATTGACACCACAGTCACTCCCCTGTGTATGGATTATAGTTTTGGTTTCCCAGTTTCCTCCCCTAATTTATAGTCCCTGCATCTGTCTTATTTTTTTAGTCATGTTCTCGAGTAGCCTCAGTCTGTCATTCTTTATCAAGCTGCATAAGAGGGTTGGTCCAGTGTTTTTCTGAACGAAAAGGAATATTCAGGGTACAATTGCTACACCACTACGCTTCCAGGCAGTTCTGAGGCTGCTTACTTATATTTCCAGATAGCTGATGTCTTCTAATCCCAATCCTTCTTTCAATACCAACACCAAGACCCTTATTAGAAGAAATATTAGTGTTTATTTGATCATCTTCATGTTTAGTGTATTAGTGTACTATTCTCTGTTGTCTTATTATAGTTCAACTTTTAAAAACAAGGGTTTTCTTTAATACAAATCACTTTTGATTTCTAGCCTAGTTCTTATTTTTGTGACTACTCCATACAGGACCAGGGGCCATACCCCTAATTATTGGGATTGCCAGAACTTGATTTTTTTTATGGTTTTAAATATTTTGAACGTGTTATTCAGTTTTTAAATTTATTTAAATTTTCACAGTTGTATGAAATTATGGGGGATCAGATAATTAATTATGTAGATGTTGAGATTCAAAAAATTAAAGCTTTAGCTGTCAAAATGTAAATCACTTTTTAGTCTGAAATCAAACCATTTCTCAAACAGCATTTTTCTTACTATGCCAACCTGTACATTTTGATCAATGGAAATATTTTGTCAGATTGTGTGCAGACAGTGAAATTGATGCTTACTGATATTTACCAGTAAGAGTTACCTTGCACCTAGAAATCAGGTCAGAACCCATTACGGTAAGTGCTATAGAAACATTTGTTCCATTTTTTTGTTTTAATTCCCTGTCTAAGATTTAATACTCATATCAAACTATTTCATGAGTTATCCATTACTCTTCTTAGTCAAAAAGAAAAGTAGCTTACTGGGTGGTTCACATTTCATACTACGAAATCGTCTTTCCCAGGATGAGGATGTTGAAGTAGATGAAGAGATAGAAACTGAAGTTCCAGGCTCCTTTACAAAAAACAAGGAAAAAACTCATTTAAGCAATTATATTATTGTTTGGTCAAGCTATTTTTCATCGCTTAAAATCCATTAGTAAATTCTGGCCTTTTTTAATAGGATTCATATGTAGATAATGATGCTGAGTAATCAAATAGATTAGGGCCATTATGTCATCTACTTTTTAGCAGGGTTAAAGGATTTTAAATAGATTGGAACAAAGGTTTCTTATAAAAGAACCCAGAGCACATTATGTTCAGTTATTATTCTAGTTAAAAACAAAAATAAGAAGACATAGCTTACAGCTTCCAAAATACCAATGTGAGCTCCAGAAACTATATTCACACACTCCTCCTTTCCCCTTTTCCTAGCAGTTTACAGCCTCTGCATTCTAATGTTTTTATATAACAAAGGCATTTACTGCAAATGTTTTCCTGATTTGGAAATTCTGATCACCAAATGAGAAAGCACAAGAAAGGAAAACCTACAAATTTACTTGTGCAAAATCCTTAGCCACTGCATGTGTGCTGAACTCCTAAAATAAAATAATCCTTAATAACAGAATATAGTTATGCAAGGTCTTTTCTTAAGATAAACATGTATTCCAGTCTAAAGGTCATGGCCTGATCTAAAATCCACTGAAGTTAATGGGAGCCTTTCAATCAACTTCAGTAAACTCTGGGTCTGGCCCTAAAGGTATCTCATCATCTCTGTCTCTCTCTGTAAATTTGTGGTCAGGTTCTCTTCTTGTGTTCTCTTTTTCCTGAATACTTCTGCAGTCATTTCTACTGGGCAGCTAATCTTTCTATATTATCTTGGTTTTCCCTCAGTCTATGTTTTCAGTGTTACTATGAGTTAGATACCTCTAGATTCTGTATCCTTCCTTTTCTCAATAAATTACCTTTCTGGCTCCCATTGATACTAGTCCATTTCACATGTATTCTTCTTTGATGGAATTCCCATTGCTCCACATTTTTCTTACTTTTAGATTTCTTGTAATATTTTTTGCATTATTTCAATATTAATCTCTTCAATTTCTTTCTTCCCCCAGATTGCATTCTGTCCTCTCATCAAGTAACTTAACCATTGATACCCCTGGCTCCCAACTTCCATAGTGGACATCTGTATCACATAACCTTGAATTTGAAATGGAGTTGGTCTAGTCCTAGTCTAACAATAGAAGCTTGTGCCAGCACTTTAAAAACAGTTTAGGATCACAGTCTAACCTTTCAGCCCTGGCCTTCTTTAATCTAACAGTCACCAGAAAAGTTAAAGAGGCAACATTATTTAGGACCAAAGCAGTTGCAACTACAGTCATATATTATGCATTTAAATTTTCATAACTTCTTGCAAATGCTAAGTCTTGAAGATGTACAGGCAAATATAATCTGCATATATTGTGGTTTAGTATTTGCCCAATTTATAGGGAAAATCAAAACTAATATTTTTGTATATATAAATATGAAAAATGCAGATACAGTTTTATCTATTTGTATTTGAAGATGTGGCTTCTAGTGTCTAGATTCCAATGTAATATATGGTTAACAAAGGACTGTCTATATCAGGAGAACCGGGCCCAGGGGCCACGTACGGCCCCCAGCTTGACTTGGTTCTGGCCCCCAAGTCTCAGGGTCCGGTCCCCCACGCAGTATAGGGGAGCCAGTACTGGCACTCCAGCCTCCTCCCTCCCCCCACACACTGCCCCACTGCAGGGCTGATGAACACAAACATCTACTAGCATGGGCCCTCCTAAGCTCTGCTGTGCGAGAGGAATGTGGGGAGTGTCTTTCTCCTTCTCAGTCAGGGGCTACATCTCTGAGGGGTTTTTTTCCTCATTTGTGCGCATCTCCGTACTGATTTTTCTGTGGGTGAGTGGCTTTTGACCCAAAAAAGGTTCCCCGCCCCTGGTCTATATTAAATGGGACTGTCAGATAACATAATAACAGATGCAGTATCAGTGCCTGTAATACAATAAAACTAGATAGCCATCTTCAGAAATATTATTTAAAAACTAATTTTCTGTAGAACTTTGTAAAAGAAACAAGATTCAAAATGACCAATTTTTTTTCTATTTTCTACTGCAACCCAGTACAAATATGGACTGTTTTCATATCAGCTCTTGTAGAAAGTGTGCTTTAATGCACCCAGGGCCATTAGATTTTTTCAAAATTTTATGAAATACATACAGCATCAATCCCTGTAAAATGTATCAAACACTACATTTCAAGGCAGATGTGAGCACCAAACAAAGGCATTCACCAAACAGAAAATTTTCTAAAATAGGAAGTCACTTCTGCCTTGACTGCAAGCAGTTAAGAGTAATACAGAAGGAAGGACAGTAACAGCATAGAACGATGATCAAGGATTTTTAAAGTCATTCAGTCATTAAGAGTTTCATCACCCCCCCTTGTTCAAAGTATCAAACTGCAACCACTAACAAAAGAGTAGAACTTCTTAGACAAATAAGAATTCAAGTGATTATTTTTATTTCACAAAGTGCCAGTTATGTTTCAGAGTTATGTGCTCTTCTGTAATATAAAAATGTAGCTCATCATTCATTTGACATAAAGTTACCTGGTATGTCTTAACAATTTCCAGTTTCTTTGTTCCAGTACTAACAGGAAGTAACACTAGTTAACATTTTTCACATTGGTTCATCAAAACCAGAAATTAATTATATTTATAAGTGTCCTCTCCATCAGAGTCAGAGTCAGATCCAGCTACATTTATCTCTTGAAACTTTAACTTGGTCTTTGTCTTAAAAGATTATTTTGAAAAGGAATGTATTCTAAATACAGGCAGTCCCCAAGTTACATACAAGATAGGGACTGTAGGTTTGTTCTTAAGTTGAATCTGTATGTAAGTCAGAACTGGCATCCAGATTCAGCCGCGGTTGAAACTGATCAGTTTCAGCAGCGGCTGATGCCAGTTCTGACTTACATACAGATTCAACTTAAGAACAAACCTACAGTCCCTATCTTGTATGTAACTTGGGGACTGCCTGTATTTAGAATACATTCCTTTTCAAAATAATCTTTTAAGACAAAGACCAAGTTAAAGTTTCAAGAGATAAACGT